TGCGACTTCCGGCTGCGTGGTGGCGTGCGGGCATTGAATGACGCGCCGGAGACTGAGAGCCAATTCGCTCACGAGTTTTCTGTCTCCATTGTAACGACGCGGGACGGACCAATGGGAGAACAGGAAGAACAGAACTAGGATATATAAACCCCCTGTTTTCCCTATACGGACTGACCAGATTCAGACCAGTGTTGCGAATTTCATCCTTTATTAAAGAAAAATCATTTTGTCTCATTCTCTACCTCACTATACCATGGGGTCGAAACGTACAGTGGCGACGGATCAGGGCGCAGACATATTGGACACTGGCCTCAGCCAATCCTCTGTCTCTTTGCGTTCTGATGGCATTCGAGGAAGATAAGCGTCTTTCAACTTTGACAGATTACCATGTTTCAACCTTTATAGATATCATTATTAAATGTAATAGTCAATACAGTTTACATTTCAATAAAAAAAATTATGCTAAACCGTTTCAAGGTCAAAAAAAAAGAAACTGCTGTTTAACAAATATTTACACAAGCGTGTCCCAAAAAGCTATTAGATTTAACACCAAATCGCATAATTGGACCTTATTAGGAACTATCATATGAGGCGATGTAAAAAGCTTACAAGGGAAAACTCAGTGGGTTCGTGCAATGAATTTATTTTAATAAACGAAGTGGGAGTAGCACGTCACTAAAATTTGTAGGAAATTGGGTTCACTAACACAGAATGTTTTAAGCAGTTCAAGATTAATATAAACTCTTTGTTTTCCATGCATTAACCCTATGACTTCGCATCTTGTAACACTAAATTTAACTTGATTTGTACATAGAAATTAGGAGAAAATTCAAAAATATAGATTCTCAAGAATAAAATGATGATTAAATTAAAATTAAAGAATCGAATTTCATTTTTAAAAAATGGAGTCAAACAAATATTGACTTCCTGTAGGTCCTCACCCATCATCACAATATCAGGTGCCAAAACAGATTGGATTTTAGTTGTAATAAAAAACGAAGACCCATGTATGGTTCAGGCACTGGACAAAAACACTAGCATGAATCAAGCGTGGATGTCTTTACATAGACCCATGTCCATAGCTTCGTACCAATTACAACATTTTTAACTGCAAGATAACAAAAAACGGTGTAGAAAGATAAGCGAATGAAAGGCATCATTCGAAGGACAATTGGTTATGAACCGGGAAAATCATGCAATTTGAAATTGAGTAAGGAATCATTCCATAATTTTTTGCTTTAAATGCATCACATATAGTTGTGCAATAGTAGCTTTGATACTCTATGTTCTCAGCGATAGTTAGAAACTATAATTAGATGAAAAAGAAAGGGTCTATATACAGCGAAATTGTGTCAACGGGATATAAGAAACTTAAAAAATTTGTATGTGATGTGTGAGCCATCTTTTATAAATACGCTGTTAATTATTGATTCTCAATATGCCAATGTAGGTAAAAGTAAATTAAGCGCAACTTTTCTGATAAAACAAATATGAAGATTTTTACTCTGCAAGTGTACTGATATTTGTTTTCTGTGACACAACTAAAGGTAAAATATTTTATTTTTACTTTATTGGAAGTGTAACTGTTGGCTGAGATCATATAGACTTTGAATAATTTATATTTTATCAAATCAATGACCTCGTTAAAATAGAAGCTATAAACTATCATGTGATTGGTCAACTTAAGCAGCATGATATTTAGGCAGCCAATAGGCTTGGTGTGAGTTAACAGGCCTGATTAAGTACTATTCAAGAGGTGACCTTGCTAGTTTTGGCGCGTGTTTCCGTTTGTTCGTTGCCTGCGCCTATCTTTCAAAATGGTATGTCTGTCTTGGTTATAATCTTATCTTTTTGTAGCGCGAATGTATTAGCGTCCATGTTGGTCAAGCTGGTGTTCAGATGGGGAATGCCTGCTGGGAGCTGTATTGTCTGGAACACGGAATCCAGCCTGATGGGCACATGCCAGATCACAAAGCAATCGGCAGTGGAGATGACTCTTTCACTACATTCTTTAGTGATACTGGAGCTGAGAGGTACGTCCCAAGAGCCATTTTTGTTGACCTCGAGCCAACCGTCGTGGACGAGGTGCGAACTGGCACCTACCGTCAGTTGTTCCACCCAGAACAATTAATCACAGGGAAGGAAGATGCTGCTAATAACTACGCACGTGGCCACTACACGGTTGGCAAAGAATTGGTGGATCAGGTTTTGGATCGCATCCGCAAACTTAGCGAACGCTGCACAGGCCTCCAAGGTTTCTTAGTGTTCCGATCCTTCGGTGGCGGTACTGGATCTGGTTTCACGTCCCTTTTGATGGAGAGACTGAGTGTTGACTATGGGAAGAAATCTAAGCTAGAATTCTCTATTTACCCGGCACCGCAGATTTCAACAGCTGTCGTTGAGCCGTACAACTCGATTCTGACCACACACACTACACTGGAGCACTCTGATTGTGCCTTTATGGTTGACAACGAAGCGATATACGATATTTGCAGGTAATCTCGATGTTTTATCACATAATGTATTTGCTGTCAGGCGTAATTTAGACATTGAGAGGCCGACCTACACCAACCTCAATCGCCTTATTAGTCAGATTGTGAGCTCAATCACAGCGTCACTTCGTTTTGATGGCGCGTTGAACGTGGATCTGACGGAGTTTCAGACGAACTTGGTGCCTTATCCCCGCATCCACTTCCCGTTGGCTACGTACGCGCCAGTGATCTCGGCGGAGAAGGCGTACCACGAGCAGATGACGGTAGCTGAAATCACCAATTCGTGCTTCGAGCCGAACAACCAGATGGTGAAGTGCGACCCTCGTCACGGCAAGTACATGGCGTGCTGTCTTCTCTATCGGGGCGATGTGGTGCCGAAGGACGTGAACGCTGCGATTGCAGCTATCAAAACGCGACGTTCCATCCAGTTCGTGGACTGGTGTCCGACCGGCTTCAAGGTTGGCATAAACTACCAGCCACCGACTGTGGTGCCAGGCGGTGATCTGGCAAAGGTGCAGCGGGCCGTGTGTATGTTAAGCAATACCACAGCTATTGCGGAGGCGTGGGGTCGTCTTGACCACAAGTTTGACCTGATGTATGCCAAACGAGCATTCGTGCATTGGTACGTAGGCGAGGGCATGGAAGAAGGCGAGTTCTCGGAGGCCCGTGAAGACATGGCAGCCCTTGAGAAGGACTACGAAGAGGTCGGTTTGGACAGTCTCGATGGCGAGGAGGGGGATGACGGCGAAGAATACTGAATCGCCGCGCCACCTCGATGTTAATGTCTAATCACTGTCATTTTAACGCTAATAAGATTTATTGATATTTATTTGCACATTTAGTTCTCTGCACAATTTACGTAAATAAGTTTTGTCTGTGTTTGGTCGTGATGGATTTTTCCCATCATGATGAAAATTGCAGCCAGGACAGATGTGGCGTTGTTGGGTGGGTAACTTCAGCGGTATATGGGAGTTGGAGTAGTGTGGGTGCCTACATGACTGTCGTTTTTCCACTTTTCCTAAGAGAATCTGATTTCATTGTGTTGAGGACAGATCAGAGGTTGTGGCATGTGGTTGTAACGGTAGTGTTTCCTCTGTCGTGTGTAGAGGATGCAAACTTTCAGGTGGATTAATTATGCTTAAACAGGATGTCAACTAGTTTAAAACCTCACGACTTGGCTCATTTTCAATCCTAATGATGCCTTTTGTGAAATCTAACACACTATTGAAATCCGGCTTAGCAGAGGATGTTTACATCGATACTCGAGTGGCCCATTACGTTGATGAGTTGTTTCCGACTCGGCCAATCACTACGATTCGTCAAGGCCTCATGTCACGATTGGTCCTAATCACCAATGTATCGATCTTCTGAAAGGTGACGACACAGGCGACGTTCATGCACTGTGAATCGGAAGACGGTGAGGAACCAAGTGTTGGGAAAACCCTCGTGAAATCGATAATCAGTCCTCCTGTACACCCACTATTCTAGGGATGTGGCATCGTCAGATTCCAATGAAAACTTCAGAAACACAATTTTCCATAAACTGTTACCTGAGGGTAAACTGATTGATCTCTGTAGTATTGCACGAAGATGCCGTGCTGATACATCTGGGTGCTTTGTTTGGATGCCTGCACTCAGCCTCGTAAACAGAGCGATCATTAACTGCATTGTACCTGGGACGCATTGGCAGGTTTGTATCGTGCTTCACAAATAAGTCAGACGCTGATTGGCTACATAAATCGCCTCCCCTTTTAAGTGCGTTTGACCCCAACAGACAATCTTGTACATCGCATCACCCTCACCTGTCAAGTCGTGAAACGAGGCCACTTAGCGACTCGGTGGTGGACGGTATAAGACCATTATCTGGTTGTGTGGTGAGGACTCCAAGGTGATCGTATCACCTTGGCTTTTCTGTGATCGACCGTGGATCTGGGGTCATGCTGTTCGGTCCTGAACGCTCACCCTCCTAACTTGACGGCAATACTTCCGTCTCTTGCTTCAGTCGCTAACCGAATTGACCTATCTAGAAATCAGATATGAGTCAGTCTTCCTAATTTCACGGTTACCACCAACTGGTTTTTTATTGGCTGCAAGCCGTCTATCTTAAGCGTCAATGACGAATCATAATCAAGGTGAAATAAGACCAATAATGAAATCTACATTAAGTTAACGCATTGTGTACGAGGATACTGCTTTAGACACTCAACAAAGCCAACCAAACAATCCCCTTAACACCACCTCTCCGCCTTAAAAGTACACAAGGCTGGGACCGTTTAGTCACTAGCCGCGAGCCCATTGGTTAAGGGTGGGGGGTTTGTTGTCGGAACAACTGAACTGGGCGGCCCAGAGCTGGCTTTGCGCACGTGACAATTCTGGGTGCGTGTCTAGTGGCCCGGGTGTCCGTTAGGGGTGGCTTGGCCCGCCCCACCGCCACCTCCCCACTCCACGCTGGTCAGACTGCCTCACACAACGCATGCCGTCAACTCAGCATCTGGGTCAGGAAACAGCTGTGCAAGTTGGGTTGTCTCTCTTCAAAACATCTTGTGATCCCCAGTTAGCTGTAAACCGCGTCTCAGACGGCAGTTTTATTGGTTAAAAAACATGAACTCCACCTAAGATCGTCTGGGTAATAATCCAGACTTAGCCCTAACGTTCATATCACGCACTTGGTGTTAATGACAACGAAATTCAACAAAACTTTTTGCTTAGCGAAAACGCTTAAGTCAGTAAATGTCGCCTTCAGTTCATCCAGTGACGAAACTGTGTTTAATATTTTGCCAGCGCCCCAAAATACGTGGAATTTCAAGTTGAAGTGACCGAATAGGGAACAGTATACCGATAAGTACCCTCAAAGGCCCATTTGTAGAAGCAGTAAACACCTGGTCACATGATCCACCGCCACGATCTTACAACATGCCAAATGCGACAGCAAGGTAGGCACGGATATGCTAACAAAAATATTTACCCCAAAGAGTCATCTACCTGTGCTGCCGAGATAGGTTAGTGCTCTGTTTTGAGTTTCTGTGGAGAAAACTGAAGGTGGTCCTTGAAAACACCGCCTTCCGATCGTGCAGGCTGACCTCCTCGTTGTCGAAGTTCTTCGATAATACTTAACAACACAATGGCTGTTTCACTCAATAATGCTCTTTTAACGAAATCCTATGCTATTCCCTGCCTAATTTATGCACTTCTGGTAAGTTTTATTAAGTGGAAATATGTCGACGGTACCTAAAACGTCTATTTTTAAATCATTAGTGCGTTAAGGTAATCTTCAGACCACGTAAGGTTGTGAAAAAAGCACTTTGTCGGCGTCGAGGGACAAATGTTGACGTTCGAAGGGGCCCATCCACATCCCTCCCACCTCTTAGCTCTGATCGCGTAGATTTCGACCACAGATTACAGATAAACGATTTAAATTGACAAAACAATCGTCTGCCTTCAATTACGAAGACGTGTGGCCAATGATTCGCACTTTTCCAAAGCGACTTGCCAAACAGGGAAGGGGCATTAGACCACGTGTGCTTAATTCGGCATGATGAAACACGAAATTCAACAACAACAACAAACTCCTTATTTCGGCTGCTGGGAGCATTCTGACCAATGTGAATCGGGGTAAAAAGCCAGTCACAACATCGTTCGAGGTCATTGGTAGGACTTGTGCATACAATTTGCGCGGTTTTGCACACAATATTCTCGCACTCTTGTTGATACCGCAACTTCAGACCCTCTAACATAGATCGATAACAGGTCCATGTCTTGTCGTCTGGCGCCATTTTCCGATCCCACAGAACAGTCAAGGTCGTTTGATACACAGAGCCTTCTGTAAGATCACGTACTTCCAAGTTCAACGTTCAGGTTTTGCTTATTGCGTTTAAATTAGCCTTGGATCGTCTTTCACTCAAGTTCAGCTCAATTTTTAAAAAAAATAATCCCAACTACAAGAGTAACAGCAGCCGTGATCAAAGTAGCCGTCCCAACTTGCGACACGACCTTTGATTAACCAGCTCGTAGTGTGGACGTGACGCCGCTATTTTCGTACCAGTTCACCCTAACAAT